GTTTGCCAGTTGTCCTCGACGAAAGACATGATTCCTGATCGTGGCTTTAAAGCGGAGCTTCTTTTTCCCGCAACTTTGCAAGGCGTTGCAGATTTCAGTATGAATGGGTGGCAACTCGAGACAGCGGCAGCTTACATGAAATGAACACCTATTAACTGACCTTGAAGTTATTCTTATAAACAAAGAGCATTTCTATATTAGCGTTGCTAAAATACCGTGGCGGTTCTCATACATTGCGCTATGTCACGTGAATTTCATGTCCTCGCGAAGAAAATTTGAACGTTGGTTAGTGATTCTCTTCACCGGACTGCCGCCGGAAAACTATTCTCGTTTGCTCCCGTTGTTTGGTCTCGCCACGCAACGCTCTTTACTCCACGAGAGCGCGCGTTGCGAGACGAGACCAAACAACGGGGGCAAACTAGAATAGTTTTCCGGCCAAACAACGGCTACGTAGGACACCTCTCGATGAAATTTATCAATTTCATGCTGTGAGCCCTTTCGTCTGCCGATTAATTTTTGCAAAATTTCACAGAATCTGAATTAAGTTATGTCTAGAAAAGTGATCCTAGAATCTCGAGATAATCATATTGCGTGAAAAGTTTTCCGAAGTTGTATTGACCAGCGATTTTTTGTGTTTTGCGCAAACAATTTTAAGAGCTTGCATATTCAAGTAAGAGATTTCGCTTATTAGTTCTATAACCCAAGGTGTTTTATATTTTTATTTTTTTTATTTCAAGGACCCTCAAGAGTTTTCTTGGTTACCTGGTAATCTGCTACTCAATCAACTGACATAAAAGAAAGTGTATCCCTAACATCCCTTTCCTAACATCCCTTTCTCATTTAGGTTTTGCCCATCTGGGAAGGAACGACGAATGTATTGTCATTAGATGTACTTCGATCAATTTCTAAAAGTCAAGGGCTGGTAATTTTAATTGTTTACCTAAAATGTGGCATAGTTAATATCAGTAGTAAATGTTACCTTTTATACCAGTTTTGTTTTTACGATTCTTGAGCCTGGTAATTGTGCCATAAACCACAGGCATTGTGCTAAACCCTCCAAGAAGGAAAAGCGTTTGTAAGGAAATTATGCCTTCGTGCGATGATTCGTGAAATCTTCTGTGCCTTAAAGCATTTTGCAGCCTTACTCTGGGGTTTAGCATGAGTTGACAAAAAGTTTTGAAATTTTTCTCTGGTTTTGTACCTGTTCACGTATTGTACACCCCTCTTTATATTTTCACTGTTTAACTGCAAAAATCCTTGCTACAACCATTTATTACCGTGGTCAGAAAGAGACTTATTAGATACGATGAGTTGCCTAAACTAAAAGGCATTCACTCTACGAAGGCTCGAATCCTTACTTCTCAAAAAGTTATCTAGGCGGTAACCGTCACCAAGTCAACAAATGTCCTACTGTGTGGTTCATGATTTCAAGTCTTTGTTAAACTCAGATTTTATGCACTTAAACATTCGGAAACATGTTCTCTTTTCGTATCATAATGCAGGTACTGAAGGCTTTTCACGCGGATGTTTCCAACAAGTTATCTAGGGCGTGTGCGTTTCGTCCAGCCCTGAAGGTTATAAAGGAAAAAGTACAATCCTCTATGAATACCTTGCTATCTCCAAAAAACTACGAGCTTCTCTCTGATTCATTACCTGCACGGGATGTCGCCTTCAGCCTGGCAAGAATATACATGGGTATGACGCTGATGATACTGTTTTGTTTAGAAATGTTTTAATGAATTGTTGTTCAGTACGGTCGCAAAAACTGTGTGGTCGGCGTCTGAGGATGTGGGAAAAGGGAGGGAGAATTAAAAGCGCCCCTTTCTTTCTTCCCCCCCCGACCGGTGCGCATATTCGGTCACTTTCTAGATCGTTTTTAATATCTCGCCTTAAACCATTCCTTTTTCTTTTATCAGCGTCCCTATTGATAGAGCATGCTTCCTGGGAAGAGGCTGAAGAACAGGACGTGGAAGCTGCCAAAAGGTAAGTTAAGAAGAAGAAGCGAGGATACACGAACGCTCTGCATGAGCTAATGTTCCTGTCGTTTGCAACTCTTTTCGTTAAAATGTGAATAATACACCATGTAATTTCTGTCCTCAAGTTCTTTCTTGAAGACATTTTATATGTCAGGTGTTGCACTCCTAATTAGCACGACCATGCGCTCATCCGATATGCCATCGGGTAGAATGAGTGGTCATTATTCATTATGCATGATCACCCTAACGGGAAATTTGAAAGCGAGCGTGCTTTGAAAACCCCAGAACGATATAAGAAAGGGCCGAGTGGGCAGAGAAAACTTGCTCGTGTGACTTCAAATAACTGCTCACCAACATTTTGACCTACAGCTTTTTGTAGAAAATGAGATATCTACAATGATAGACAAAAACGAAGAATTTTTTTTTCAAGTGCAAGGTCTATCCATTTGCGCTAGGAAATGAACATAAAACAGCCATTGTTTTGTATGGAAGCCGATCTCGAAAGAAACTTTCTCGAAACTGGAATAGACGCTTCCAAAGTGACTTTAAAAGTGGTATCTAATTTTTGAAATTCACTGCTTTCGAGTCCCATTTGAACCAAGCTTAGCAAGAGTAGAAACGCACAAAACACACGTACTAAAGGCCCGTGCAATTTTTTAGGTGGTGTCAGCAAGACTTGACCCCAGTTCTCACTCAACTCAGACACAACGCATACGACGCGAAAAGCTCCGCCTGTGACCTGGCGCTAGTTATGAAGGGACATTCAGATTTCACAAGAACATGATACTTGACTGTCGTTTGCAAAGCCTTACACAGCAACAGGCTTGAAATAGGCCTCAGCTGCTTAACAGGGAATTTCACTCACTAATTGCTAAGAAAACACGATTTTCTGAAGTGTTTACTGTAGTTAGAGAGGCAGAGACTTAAAATAAGCAAAATTATACGTTTAAGACAGAAACAGAATGCACGCCAAAGCGGGTGTCGTGGTGACGTTTGGTCTTTTGTGCTCTTCGAAAAAGATGCAGATTTAATCCATCCAGTCAGGTGGTCAGCAGTTTCGGCCTAAGCAGGCCTTATCGCCGTGACATAGCTGATCAACCAATGATCAAGGCACTTAATAAATATTGTATGGTATATGCAGTCAATATTTTAATCCATTCGCATCCTTCCCTACATGTGTCTCTCCACACCAAGTGTAGATATTATTATTACCTCATTAAATTCTCTCGTGAATGTTACACAATCTGAAGATTTGGTCCACCACGCATGCTCTATTGCTTCAGTGCCTCTCTCAAAGAACTGTCGGCAGTTTTGGTTTTTATGTGGAAACAACTCCAATTATTTGCATCTTTAGCTTGCTCGGTATGTGCAAGAAAAGTGAACCCGTTTCACTCAACTTAGGTCATATATGGCAATCGCTTTGAGTCCATTACTCAATCGCGCAGAAATTAAGAGCTCAAGTCGTGGGACGAAGTACTAGAAATTACAGAAGGAAGGTGACAGAACAGTAAGCCATAATGAGCGAAAAAAATAGGTGAGATACTATTGATTAGAATTTTTTTTTTAGGACACGCTCTCCTTATACTGCCCCGTCCGTTTCCCTTTTCAATGTTGTGTACAACAAGTTTTAGCGATAAAACACACGACCTTTCCCGCTTTGAGTGTGGGGCATCAGCGAAATCTATAGCGAGAGGAGCAATTTGTCCTACATTCAGGAACATAGGTATATTTTTCAAACTCTGTGCGCTCATTGTCGCAAGATCGACGTTTCCATTATCAACACTGCAAACCATACACTTCATTAGCGGGGGTTAAGCTTGCGTGCGTAACATTAACTCTTGTAAGGCTGAAAAGTAGCAACCAATGTCGTCAATGAAGATTTGAAAGGAAAGGGAAGAGCGCACTGTTGAAGATGTTATGCTTGGAGCATATAAGTGTAAAGTTGTTGCAGCAGCGGAGAATACACACACACACATATATATATATATATATATATATATATATAGACCCAAATACTCTCAGAGCACCACCTCCACGTCAATTGAGCATGAAGGCAACAAAGTTGATTAATGAATCAGGAGCTAAAGAACAGCCAAGGCCTCTTGTGGAGTAAGGACTTGACGAGCATTTCCTTCCATGCCAGGGTACGACCTGGTTCATGTAGGAGAGAGATTCACTCGTATGGAATATTAAACCCCCCTGCCCTGCCCTCCCCTCCCCGACCCGGCATAGCTCGCTATCAAGCTCTGCTTTTAGTTTCGTCACAATTCCAAACAAAGGCAAAGAGAATTAGAAAACAGAGAGTTTCTATTCAAAGGTTTTTGGCAGTTGTTCTTACGCAAAGTACGCAATGTAGAAGCAGCGGAGACTTTCATAAAAATCCACTTTTATTTATACGGTGTACAAAATATATCCTCCCAGATAAGTGCTTTGTGCACAGACACTCCATCCGCAAAGAATGCGTGGTTTTATTTACCCATCTAAGTATTATAACAAAATACCGAACTTTTTAAATCTATAACCAATTGTCTGATAAATTTTAAGTATACTCCCGAAAATATTTGAACCCCTATTGATAGCATCCGGCTGATCACCATGCACAATATGCTTATAATATAACTAACTAAGTGGAAGTAAAGACAAGAATATCCAACTTGTGCGCAGCGTCAGAAGATGCAGTGGAACTTTCTTCTTACTGGTTCAGATAACTTAATAAACTGCATGTGAACTACCCCCTTTTGAATCAAGAAGAGAAAAGCTATCCTGTAGATACCATTCATTTGACTCAGTTATATCATATACTTTGCACGCAAGACGAAATATCTGTAGCTTCCATTTCTTGCTTTAATGAGATTGTGCATAAAGCAGCTTTGTGTGAATCTGAGCTATATCAGTGGAGTTCGTTCACTTCAGTAGGTCCTCGTTACTCTATCCCTAAGCAACGGCATTACAGCATCTCTGTGGACACCAACCCATACAGATTTTGGTGCAGGTAGCGGGGCATTTGGACTGGCCAGGAGAATTTGGAAGAAAGCTTCTTAATACCGGTGCTACTTTTTCGGTGCGTGGACCTAAATCAGGTTAGATTTATAAATTAGTGTTTGCTAAATAGTTTTCTCTATCTAGAAGTCATTCAGCTTTCTTCTAATCGCTTTTCATAATTTTGTTCATTATTTCCATTTCCTTGAGATAAGAACTAGGTTTTTCTTCAAAAGTATTGCAGTGGTAGTGTACGTTTAACTTCTTAGAGTTAAGTTAGCAAATTAGATAGCCTTAAAAAAAATCCGTGTTGCCAGTTTTTTGCTGTGCATCGTCGTTCTATTTGTGGTTGAACGAGTAATCTTTCACTGCTAAAGACCAGCGAAGTTGTCAAATGTTATATTTGGATCACTGTGTAGTTATTTGTATGATGAAACTACCAGAAATCCCAAGATTCTCGGTGTGCGTCTTTGAAAGACAATCACCGTCGAGCTAAGTCAAGCGGTTTCTTTGCACGAAAACTGCAACATTTTAGATTACTTACTTACAAAGAAATAACTAGCAGCTAGAGCGGAGAACTAACAATCAGATCTTGAGAGTTAGAGGATTAACTGCCGTATGACTAACATCCATTCTTTCATTGCGCTCAAGAGTTTTAAGTCACTCTTCAGTACTTTAAGAGTATCAACGTGTCACACTTAAGCGTCATGGATGGTGTGCGCGCGTCACAATTACCTTACCTGATGGTTGGCAGTAGCCCCACCGTTTCTCTTTATCGTAGTTGGGCGTGGTGGCACACCAGGGACGATGAGTCTGCGGATCAGCTATACAGTGGTTCACTACCGCGCCGCGGAACACGAAAGGAAGGGCACAGCATTTGCCACTGTATGTTTTGAGACATGTAGACACTGAAATGTGACAATGGGTGAGGTAAATACAGAGTTGTGGAGAAGGGATGGGCAGATTTAGCGTTTCGAATCCCTATTCCCCCCCCCTTCTGTTACCCTACAGATCATCAAGCAGTGTGTTTTCTCCGGGTTCAAAAGATAAACTGCTTTGTAAATCCTGGCCGCAGAACTTTCATTTCCTATGTCAGCTTCGAAGCCTCTTGCTATTGGTTTAGATCGGTTTCTAAGTCTTATCGAATCTTTACCTTCGAAATCGGCGACATTTTTCTCTTAGAAAAATCAAATAGAGCAACTATTCGGCGTATTATTACAAAGACACAACAAAATTCTCACCACCAGAGTAGGAAAAGGGGACGTGAATCCTCCTAATTACTTTACTTATCACTCATGGTATATGCCCACGTGACTGTACTTCTGCTGTATCATCGTTTACATACCTGGACAAGGTGTCTGTATACAAGTCCTACTCTCGAGACTTTGTCCCTTGCAGACCTTTCCTGGCTTACACGTGCGTGTCCTCGTCTGTAAGCTTTTTCCGCAAGTGGCTCCACAGGGCCCAAATGGGGTCCACTGGGTAAAGTTTTCGTCTCCTTTTCCAAGCACAGCCTTTTTGGCTGCTTCCATGGACGATTTGTATTCGTCGTTTTCGCGGAGGTGCTCAATTTCTGAAAAAAAAATTAAAAAACGTTTTAATTCTTTGAAGTAATATCGGTGACCGTGAGATCTAAATCACTCCACCTCTACACGTACCTGTTAAAAAGGTGAATTCGCCATTTAAAGGCTTGATTGCTACCGTTTTCTCTTTGCCGGTCTTCTATTCTCTCGGTCAAAGAACAGCCAGTCGTTTCCTCGAGAAGTTGATCATATCTAAAGCAGCGGCCCATAATCGAGTCTAACGTTTCAACTTCTATATTTTTGTCCTAACAAAATGTCACTGACACAACCCTTACCATTGTTTTAAACTAAACGAAGTGTTAAACTTGCCAAAATAAAATAACTTTACCTGTGGCTAAAGATCATAGTGGTATGGCATTGCATAAGAACGCGTTCTCTCAAGCTTTATAATGTAATGTTTATGCCTCCGACTGCCAAATATGAAGATATGGGGCTCGAATATTCACTGGGTAACTCAGTTTTGTTCTTTACCCCACGCTCGTGGAAAATTTGTTTAAATTATCCCTCTTAAAAATCTCAATTTTTAACTTAATTTTCCTTGAGGCCACAAGATCATTTATTTTCACCAACAGAACCTCTTCCCTCGTTGAGAAAATTCTTCTCTTGTTTACCTGTATTTCCTATCTGTCCATGGTGTGACATCACTACACTCCTGAACGGCATATCGCATCCTCCTGGCGTGACGGCGATTGCGTTATTATTGTTAAGTAACACCTCATTATCTCTGTCGTCTGAGTCACGCGCGTAGAAAATCACGTGATGATGTTTTCGTGGATGTTTGAAGATAGTCTTGAGTTTAAACGTCTCTGCAGTAATTAGGTAACCTTCTAATTTCATACTGGACACCAATGTGATTGGTCTGCGAACTTTGTTGATGAACTTAAGACTGATACACTTGTCTGAGGGAGAAGGAAAATCACTTTAATGAACAGAGCAGTATGTATTTATGCGCAATATTCCTATTTAGCCTAGACGCCGAGGGAATTAGAGCACTCCTGAATTATAAACCCCTCTATTGGTCAAAACTGGCGTGGCGTGACGCGTACAACACTCTTCTATTCTGATGTTACCAATATTGTTGTTAAAGGTGGTTGAAAACAAAAAGGCATTCAGGAAAAAACAAACCACCAGAACGGTAGCGAGGTAAAATTAACTTGCACCCAAAAATGCTGAAAATACAACTCTCTTTAAAAAAACGCTGGTTCTCTTACACGCGATAATTATGCGCGCCACCCGCTACCGAGTCCACGCAGCAGTTTGTGCATGTCACGCTGTTCAAATATCTGACCAATCTTAAACAAAGCGATCTCACCATTTTCCGAGGTTTTGTTCGGCCCGTCGTCAAGTTTGGCTCTGCTTTTCTCCTGCTGGCTGACACCGTTTTGAATGTAATTATGGAAATTGGCGCTGTTTCCCATTAAACTCTGTTTTCCAACCGAAATCAATCCTCCCCAAGTATTCCCCGGAACATGATATCTGTTAGGCACTCGTTGTAGACCTGGTTGATTCAACTGCTGATATGGAAACTGTACATTCGGAGCCTTAAATGCCAACGGCTTTCCCAGCGGCCTTACTGGCGAAACAAGCGGAGGTGCACTGATGAAATGAGGAGTTGCGCGCAAAATTTCTTGTGAGGGTGCTTGTTGATTGAAGTAATTCAAAGGCCTCTGAAACTGTTTCTGTTGTTGTTGTTTTAGCTGTTGTTGTTGCGGTGGTTGTTGTTGGCGAAACACAGGCCCTAATTTTGTAAACTGCTGAGCCGGGCTGTTTATTTTTTGTGATTGCTGGTTCCTATATGCACTATGGATAAAACCTAGTGCCTTCGCGGTTATCTTTGCTAGCTGATCAGGCAGGGTATTTGGAGTTGTTTTATCGTCATTTGGAAACTCGAAATTCAAGGTAAACTGTTGTTTTCCATACGGGTTAAGTTGATTTGCAGCTTGCTTTGGCGCGAACGATTGCAGTTGCCCCGTTGGAGTTTTGTTAAGTGTGAGTGCATTCCCTTTAATCAGCGGATTTATTTTTGGTTGAGCAAACGGTACCTTCTTCCCTGAGGTATCTTTGTTTAGTATGATAGCACTCCCTTGCAGCTGCAGATTTGCTTTCGTTTGTGCGAAAGATTGAATCTTTCCAGATTGATTTTTATTTACTGTGACGGTGTTCCCTCTGACCAGCGGATTTATTTTTGCTGTTATTGAAGAGAAACCTTTGCCAAGACCGTTATTAAGGGTTGGGTTGCTCTTTAATTTGTTCGTGGTTGAAGCTTCAAGTTTGTTCTGGTCATTTCCTGAGAGCCCATTTCCAGTGTCTGTGACGACAATTTCCTGTTTGTCCTTCTGCAAATCCATTTGCGGCTTTTGTGTACCATTCGTGACCTGCAATTCAAGAGTGACATCTGCACTTTTCAAGCCATGCAAGAGTCCTGTTTCGTTCGCTTGCTTTGTAGAATTCACAGTATCCGAGTCATCGTCAAATGTCAGCTCAAAGCTTCCGTTTTTATCAGCAGTTACGTTGGACGACAATTTTAAAGGTGCGTCGTTATTTTTACCAGAATTCGTCTTGTTTGAAAGCTGACCGTTGTCAGTTTTATTAATTTTACTGCCCATTAACGAAACTTTTTTGGCAAGAGAGCCTCCACTTTCATTCTTGGGAGTGTCTTTCCCTAAATTCTCCACAGAATCGTCGTTTGAAATGATACCAGAAACGTTTCGAACATTTGCTCTCGCCTCTGCGCTTTCTTTCTTGGTTGGGGAGAGTTTTAACCTTTCCTTTAGATCCTTTTTTGTCGGTTTTTGAGCTACTGCCATGTAAAGACAGCTCAAAAGAAATTCGTGGCTTCCGATGTCAACGTTCTTGGCGACCAGACCAAATTTACTGCTGGTGTCATGACACATAAACCACCCAGGGTGGTTAAACAGTTCATAAGCAGCCGCGCCTTTGGTTTGAGTTTTTCTTTCGATAAACGTCGCGTCTTTCTCTGAAGATTGAATAACATAAATCAGCCATTTGTTAAAAGTACTGTATTTTATTTCTTTTCTTGAATGAGAAAAGGATGAAGGAGGGAATGAACCTCTCCTCTTGATGTGAGATGTTAGAGGGCGAGGGGTATGAAAGTTAAGCATTTTGTCCCATTATGTTGTTTGGAAATTATGTACCTTGGCAAGGACTTGGGAAATCCATGGAAATTGCACCATAAGAATAAGGCGAGAAATGAAAATATGTCTGACTTTCTTGGAAAAGTCTACCTGAGAAAACGGGGTAAGTTTCTGAACAAAATTGCGATACTACGTCGTTGGGAGATATTACAAGACAATTTGTTGACTTGTTAACTCAAGATGTTGGAGCGGTAGCCCTTTGTTAGAGCAAATGGAAAGTAAAACAAGTTCTTGCGGATGGAACTGAGCTTTGCATGAAGGCTCTTTCAACTGGGATTATCCGCTAAGAACATTTACTTCACCTTACCAAACACTCCAGTGGGCTTATTTCTTTCCAAATGAAACTTGTAATTCTTGTAGCGAAGGTAATGTCCCGGATTAGCTGCCGACTCTAACGACACACTTCCGGGAACGTGCTCGAACCCAGGTCTATGGAAACGAAACGAGTCGGCTCTATTGCCGAGGAAGGCGGACCTCTGATTCGCCATGATTCCTTTACCAGCTTCCTGGGGCACTGGGCCAATCCCGGCGTCATTTTGTTGACTGGAGGGTGGGAACAACTTTACCACTGTGAAATTTCTGCTGGCTGAAGAAATTATTTAAAGTAACTGAGCGAGTAACAGCAGTTCCACCATAATATAACCTGCATAATAGACGGTACGTTTAGCTTTAAGGAGGAGAGCAGACGTATTGTGGGGAGATCAGCGTGAAGCGCGAGTCACGTGTAAGAAGTGGAACGAGATTCGACTCTCGCGCACGTTACACGCTCGTTTCGCGTTGGTTCCCGAAGCCTAAAAGCGCATAATAAAACGACCGTTCTGCGAGCTACCTCTCTATTAATGAAAATTTTTTAGTTAATGTAATATTTGCCCTTTTTACCAAAGTGGCAGCCGAAGGTCAAAACTCCCAAGTCTCATGTATCACAGGAAATTTTTACTAACACCAAACTTAGCACCCTTTGTATGGTAATCTACTCACAGATTGTCAATTAGTCATATGTGGTTTCAGCCGCGAAAAGCGAATGCTTACTGAATCTGATACAAAATGGTTTGGGAGGGGATGCATCTGTCCATTATCCTTTAGTCATGACAACTTAAATTAGAACGATTTCAGATAATCCTTTCGCCATTACTTGAGTTGTAATAACTTGAAATTTTCATAAGTTGCCTTTTGGCACCATGATCTCTCTCTTTAAGAGGATCATAGATACTTTAAGATGAATTTTAGATTTCGTTCACCATTTAATGATCAATTGATAGTGCTTTTCACTTTTCAACAAGAACCAGACGCTCACATGAATGGTATCAAATATTCATCCTCTTTTCCATCCTTTGTTTTGTAAGGCGTGTTTATTAACGCCTCTGATGTGACATGATCCCTGACATTTATAAACAAACATATTTCCTAAGTTTAGAAAAGAAAGTTCCATGCTTTCTTGACAAAAAATGAAGAGGTGGATAACTTGAGTATTCTTTGTAACATTATATATCCTGAGCGCATTCACGGTTAACGGGCGAAGATTGGAGTGTTCAGTTGGAAACTGGTTTTAAATCATCAATTTTTTCTTTTTTCATGAAAATAGTATTTTGAAAATTTTGTTTTCAAAGTAGAATTCGCAAATAGCGAGATACAGAGATACCTCTTTGAATTGTTTTAAGCGATTACGAATCGAAACCAGCGAGGAAATTTGTGCGCTCACCGTACTGTTCCATAATCTCAAACCCAATGAGCTTATGAATTTGTTTGCATTCAACACTCGATGACTTGCGACATATGAACTCTGGTTTCGTATTAAAATTTGTTTATTTAGGTTTACCCGCGCATTAAGAATGAAAAACAAAACATCATCCGTCTTAGTTCGATATTGTCTGGTTTGAACAGTTTGGAGTGGTTTCAAAATTCAAGTAATCGTTGCCGGACAAAATGATTTCATCGTAAGCGGGCCGCTCCATCACAGTTTCGGAATTAATTCCTGGGATAATTCGTTAAATCTTTTTAGAGGGAAGTTGAATATTTTTATCGTTAAAACCACGGAACAAGTCCACGTTTCCTTACCTGGTAAGGCGATCACCGTGAGCTGGTAAACAAGTACTAAACACAAGGAGAAGTGAACCCGCAGATAAACCATTTTCTTAAATTCCGCGTTTCGTGTCTTCAAAAGTTCTTCACTACAAATGTATTTTCGTGATTCGCGAAAAAATCATCTCTTGCCGCGCGCACCTCCGTCAATAAGGGCGAACTCTGATTCCAAAATCGAAATTTGTGTTGCGTTCTAAACTACCTGTTAAATTTAAATGAAAGGTCAAGGTTTTTTTCTTAACCTGACGCGATTCGAACGGGTGAACAAACAATGACTTTTCTACCTGTTGCTTAGGTTTGCAAATTGCGCATTAGGTGTGGAGCATCAAGGAAATGCTTTTTTTTAGTATTTTTGTATATCATAACTCAGTTACTGCGTTTTGCTATTGAAGTAAATTTGAACTTTTGTGTGGCTTAAGGTGCCTCCTTGGCTTCGAGGAAAGCATTTTGAAAGCAATTTTAAACTTTGAATCAATCAGTCGAAAGTGAGAAAATCTCAGGGTAAAAAAAAAAAAAAAATAGAATGATCGTTAATTTTCTTAACAGGGTGTTAATTATATATGCTCGATGAATATTTGCAACTGTATCTTAACTCAATTAATTAAGCGAGACCTTTTCTTTTACGACCCTGTACCCATTGGTGGCGAACACGGTATATGAACAAATGCACTGGTTGATTACAATTACACCATTCAGGTTTTGTCAAGGCATCTCTTTGACATTTTAAAAAGATGGGACACATTTTAACAAGTATCCTTGGAAGCACTCTCATCTAACCACCTCTAATTTGTGAATTAATTTTAAAAAATGAGACAACAAAGGAACTCATCGCTAACCAACATCGATTTTTAAAATAATGAGCTCGAGCTCGGTCGATGTGTGGATCGTTCGGTTAGATCAGTCGGTTGGTGGTCGTGCGGTCGGAGAGGCGGTCGGTCGGTCGGTCGGTCGTGGGATCGGTCCCTCTTTCGTTCCGTTGGTCGTCGGTTGGTCGGTTGGCCGGTCGATCGGTTGATTTAAAGTTCGACTTTTCTTTCGTTCGGATTACAGTGACAGTTACCAACCAAAGTTTTTTTCAAGGGGACTCACTTTCGTCGGCCAATTTAGATATTCACATTTACGCCCGGGCACAGTTCCGTTTTTAATGAGAATCTCGAAAACTGAGTGCTCTAACTTTGAGCTCTGCAATAACAGAGGTTATATAAACAAAGCTTTTAGGTTAGAGCTTCCAATCAAGACCAGCTTTGATTCCATACAAATTATCCTTAAAATTTGAAAATATAATTTTTTATTATTTCTTTATCTATACAAATTAAGGCCTACCCGTAAAAAAACGAAAGCATTAATTTCATAATTTAATTATTTAGAATACGAATCATCGACTAACTGTCGGGTAGTGCCAGAACATTTTGTGTTATTCCATTCTGTTGTGGACTAAAGCTGCTCCTAGTTCTACTTATTTTGCGATAAACGACAATTTCGGCCAACATGAGGAGAAAGCATCCACAACAAATCATAGCAGTGTTGAAAAAGAATCCTCCAAACTCGCCAAGACCCATCGGACGGGCGACCACAGTTTGCTGCGAAACTTTGCATCGAGACGTCGTCCATTTCTGAAATATTTGCGGTATTGTGTCATGCGCGTTGAGTTTGTGAATCGCGCGGGAAATTTGATGAGTCCACGAAGAGTTCCTCTGCAATGCGAAGGCGAGGCCAGATAATCCAAAAGGCACACCATTCTCTTTGATCTCACAATTCGGATCGTCTTCAGCGCCTGTTTCGGATATGAAGACTGTCAGTTCTCTGAAAGAAGAAAAAGTCATGTCATTGATATCTTTCTCTAGATTTGAATAAAAATGTTCGACAGCTTTTTAGATTGTGTCGAACAAATCAGCTCTGACCCTTTCCGTGAAGATTCGAAACAGTGGTAGTTTTGCAGTCGAATGCTCTACCAACTGGGCTATAGAGAAGTTTTTCGCAAGAAGGTCATAAATTGTACCGTGCTGAAAATTCATGATCTTTCTTCTCGTATGTTTACTTTTGAATGCGCGCTTTATTTTTTAGGTCAGGTGTTTCCCCTGAAACCTCGTTGCTTGTTTCTGCAGCAAACCAAAGTAACAATCAGGTTAATTTTTTTATTTTCTTTCTTTTACTTCTCATAGACAATAAAGCAAGCTTCGTAGAGACATCAGTTGATGACAATGACTCCATCGTAAAGGCGCTGGTTACATGAAAAGTTGCTTGCACAACCGGTATTTGATTGCTTTAGCTTAAACCATTTCCTCTAATCCTTCCCAGGTTTGGAAGACCTTTGTAGTGATAGAGAAATCAAAGGCAAAACTCACACAGAAATTCTAAGCGTTCGCACCAAATCCAAATCTAAATTTAGATTGGTACAGGTACTAAACCTCCTTAATATGGTGTGCGCGCGCAGGGAGACGGTCAGGAATTACCCCTCAGAAATTATCATCTACAAGGCCGCAAAGTTTGTTTGGAGCACTCACCCTGATCGGAGTTTTTTCATTCCATCGGAGAACGTTTCCACGTTGTGATCTTTCATGTTTTCGTAGATCTTTCTCAACCTGGCACTCCGACTTTTCTTAAAGAAGTCCTCTGTACTTGTGTCTTTGATTGTTGCAAATACGAACCCTGTCGGAGGATCTACCAACTGTGCAAAGTGAAAAGGCGAATATAAAAGATAAAAACTGTACTGTAAAAGCTTACGGCCACCTAAAAACTCAGCCGGGTTCTTACCTGTTGCTTAAGGCGGGCACTTCAAGAGTCATGGATGGAGAGCTACTACTCCGATCCTTCTTAGGCACCACATGGGAACCCCGAGATAATTTCCTATTACGCTTTTAATTAATAGCCACTCCGCAGAAAGCGATTGTGTAGAAAAAACAACTGTCATTTGGATTCAGCTCCAATGAAAGAGTGGAAGGGACTGGCATAAATTTGTAGTTAGCTCGTTCTACGTTGGCACCTAAGTGACGTCTTGTTTCATTTTATAGATAATTCTTTTTTTTTTACTAAGAGATCCAATGCCTTGTACCGTAGAATCCTTTCCCTCCGCTTACATCTTATTCACTAACCTTTTCGTCTGCGATGCCTGACACAATATTTGTTTCCTCCACAGTGATAAGAGAAGCCAGCAAATTGGCGGTGTACGAGCTGACAAGAACGAGGGCTGCAAGGTTTGCCACCACCATCACGCTCGGAACTGCGTAAGTTTTGGCCTGAATTTTGGTGAGGGGTACATGAAAAATATTCCCATAAACGTACGCTATGAATTCGAAGGGTAAAAGATAAGCGCTCTTATGATCCCTATAGTAATATAATTTTTCAAAGACCCAACTCGTAACTGCAACCGCAAAGAATGCAATCAAACACATAAGCCACAGTTCCGTACTGAAGGATTTCAACAATCTCATGTCACTTATGATTTGTGCAAAAGTTTTGTTCTTTGCTTCAAACCGCCTCACAAAGAACATTAGCGCCGTGTCGGTGTACGGAGTCGTAAAACCGACGTACTTCGAACGTTCTTCGGTAATTGTAATAACACCGAGAGCAAGATCGGCGGTCCCTCGGTAAACGTCCCCGATCATTCCGTTCATTTGTTTTGTGGTCGGATCCACTGATCCATATTTTCCATCCTTGACCAGGTAAAGGTCGAATGAAAAGTCTTCGATTTCTTGAATCTTGATAAGAATGTCGATCATAACACCATAGCAGCATTGAATTCTTGAGGGTCCTTTGCTGCGTTTCCAGAAACCTTCATTCTCCGGAAAGGAAGAAGTGTCATTATCCTCAAGAAATTCTCTACAAGGAACCGTGTTCGCCGGACAACTCGTGCCCAGTCTACTGCTGTAATCCACGTCATGGATCGCTGTAAAAGGCGCTTGTTTAATAGTAACTATTCTCAAGTGGCGCGGCTTAGGAAGGTCCCTCGGTAGAAAGGCCTCAAAATTATGGGGGCTATTGTGGAGGGTCATTTCTGGACAGGCAAATCCTAACACGTGCCAATTTTGTTCCACGTCCTGTTGTAAATCGTGTGATCGCAACGCCTTTATTATGGTGAATTTGAAGGAAGTACGTTTGCCATTGTTACCGAATTGAACAAGTCCCGTCTGGCCAGGAAAACTATGACGCATCATCTCCCTGTAAATTATATGTATAGAGCGTTATTGTGGGCATAAAATATTGTTCGGTTGAGTGTCTAAAGTTATCCTGAAATTCGGCTCCCTTAATTTAAGGCGCCTTATGCCGAGATGCCTTAAGAAACACGCACCACCCAACCCGCCGATACTTGATCCCCCGCGTTTTTCCGCGCTTGAAGCCAGTTTCGTATATTTACTTCGAGCTCTGATTGGCTCGTTAGGATATTACCTTTATTTTGATTAGTTGTTTTGATCAATTTAGGCTTGCATTCGCTGCACTCAGGCGAAAAGAAGGACTCAGTGGTGGTATTACTTTCCGCTGGAGTCAGATTTTGGTTTGCAATCCTAGCAGGGTTCGAGTTGTTTAATCATGAATATAACTACTCCTCCCTGGCTGGCAACGCTTGCTTGTAAAGGAAAGGGTTGATGTAGATACACGTTGCTCCATTACAGAGCAAAACTCTTATTATCAGGGTAACATGTACTGAGCCTCTTGTCATGAATATTTGTTCTTTACGATAATTGTGATTTAGAATTTCAGGTCTGTTAACACAGTGAATTTATTACAAATGTAGATCGTTACCTGTAGAGCTGTCTTTTAAAAGTGGTAAAAATCCTTCCCTGAAAACACTCCAGTTTATAACAGCGTGTCAACCAATCCAGGGAGCTCTTCAATCCCAACACAAATAACTCTACCGAGTCCTGGAGCAGCCTTTTATAAAGTGACACCATACTTGTATTCTCTGTTCTTTGAAATATTTGTACGCCAAACGAACCCTCAGGAAAAGCATTAGCATTGATAGTAACAGCTTTGTCAGTGAAGATCCAATATACGTCACCTCTTAAAAGTTTTAAACTGAGTTTGTTGGCAAGAGATATTATAGCAGTACTCTCATTTTCCTGACAGTGAACAACAATTAAACGCACACCGCTGCTACTTATGGCTGCCAAACCCGAGCCAAGGTCCTCCAATAAGCTGTTTTCACGGAGGATAATACATCTGGGAGCAGCAGCCTGATGACCAATGTTCGTTGTGTATTGCAAGAGATAAGAAAGCAGCGCGTCGTCACGTGATTTCTCTGTGGTGACGCAAACAAATCGACTGTCCTCAAATTCTAGCATCAGGTCTATTAAGACGCGGGCTTGGAAAGCATCTGATGGAAGCATTGACAGATACCACGAGCTTTCCTGGTGAGTTACAAAACGTTCAGTAGGGTTTTTTTTAGTTTATTACCTAAATATCGGGAGGGTGGCTGTCTTACTTACGGGAAGTTGAAATAAGCGCCTTTTCAGTGCTTAAAAGGAAATAGCCCCTGCTATAGTGTGCAGGTGACAAAATCAGAGAAATTATTTGTCATTCAATAATAACACCTCCCACTTAGGGCTCAACACTGTATCACTCCCCCACCCCACCTCCCCCCT